TTAACCCCAACAAAACTTATATCAAAACCCAAAACCCGCTTAAAAACCACTCTAGTTTTCCTCTTTTTTTCTGCTTGCCCTTGCTAAAATATTCTATTCTAAGTATGGAAAGCAGATATTACAGTAAAGGAAACAAATTAGCAAGATTCTAATATTCCTTGGAGATATCTTCCTTGACGTGAATGAATCCACATACAACCCAATTCCAAATCAAGTTAATACACTAAAATGTACCTTAGATCCCAAAACTGTAGGATTTTAACAAGTTTACCCAAGCTTGAGTTTGAATTGGCCACCTCTTCTCCTCCAAGTAACTGGCTTAGGCCAGGTTCACCAGCTATATTAAGGTTTCGTTTGGGAGGGCTTTCTTACTGCTTCTTAAAACGGCTTTCTAGTACAAAAATTAAAATTTTTGTACTAGAAAAGCAGTAAGAAAGCTGTCCCAAACGAAGCCTAAGTTACCGATAAAATTTATGAAGATTGCTATTAAAAGGGTCTTGGCTTTAAGTGCCTCCTCAATCAGGGAGGAGCTTGTGGTAGTTTACATGGAGATAGGGAGGGAGGAATAGCCAAATCTAGAGAGGAGAACTGAAGAGATCGTCAAATTCATATTTTGTATTGAAAAGGGTGTTGAAGATTTCCAAAAATATTGATTGAATCATGCTTCTCAATGCAACGGAAGCTTCGAGGGACTGTGGGAGAGAAATGACTACCAAGCAACCAAAATAACTACTTATTAAGGATTCGGGCAAACGAGTAGGATAAAAACCTTTTTTAAGTTTCTTGTTTGCTATTGCTAGTTCACAAGGCGTTTGGGCATTGTCTGGTGTTGGTTTGGTGTTGAGTTCTTAGGTGGTGTCCCCTCTTACGAGTATTGAGTAACCCAAAGAGAGGGAAAAATTATTACGTGCGGGTCTGGATTCGTCCGGAGACCAATAAAAATGCACCATGTCGCCCAAAAAATGTACCGTCTGTACTGAGCGCAGAACCAGATGGTTCTCCCGTGCGGTGTCCGCACAGAATAATAGCTCCAAAGAGGCGAGGGGAAGCGAGAGAGAAATATACTTGTTCTAATAAAAAAAAATGTCGCAGTAGGTTGATTTTTTTATTGTATTTTATTCCTTTGTTTGGAAAAAGTTCCATTGATATCAAAAACATTTTTCTATGTTGAATTTTTATTGTATTTTATACTTTTATTTGGACAAAGTTCCATTGATATCAAAAGTATTTTTCTCTATTGAGTTCGATATTTTCTTCCTGTTGAGAGTTCCAAGTTTTTGTTCCTTGCAGATCTCTTTATCATAGAAGATGGTGAATGGAATCAAACTGATATAATCCACAATCATCCTGAATTACATACAATGAGGAGTTTGATTTTCATTCTTTCTGTGACTAACAAAATATATTGCCTTTCGTCGAATGCTATAAAGCGGAAACAGAACTGAAAATTTGCAATCCTCTACTTTTTAAATTGTCAATCGGCAGTGTATTGTTTTTATTTTAGGGGCTGTTTGGTAGAATTTAGGATTTCATAAATCCTCCAAATCCGGATTTGTGAAATCCTGAGGGGGTTAAATCAGTTAAACTATGTGTTACTGTTTGGCAATGCAAGTCAGGATTTAAGACAGTTAAAATAAAAACAACTGCAAACGTTCAAACTTCGTTCGGACTTCCCCCTCTTGCGCGAATATGAAGTTAAATCCACCGACTCGGTGAGTTTGCGAAATCCGGGATTTACCGCAAAAAGTGGTCTTTTTCCGTCAACCGCGGCTTTCATTTGCCGTGATATTTGGATTTGCATTTTAGGCTGTTTAAATCCGGCCTAAATCTGCATACCAAACAGCCCCTTAGAGATCCAATTATATTAAGCCTTTCTCATTTTGTTTTTTTGGGATTTCTCACCGAGCACAAATAACTGAATAAGAGATGGGTGTCTTAGCTTCAGCTTCTTTTTGATTATTTTTATTTTTTATTTTAAAAAAATGAGTCGAGTTATTTTTCAAAACACCCAAAGTTTAAAATATTTAAAAGTATTTTTGAAAATAATTAGCACTATATCCACCGTCATCTTGCTAATGACCGCTGCATAGGAGTGCAAACGAGGCGAGTCGAGCTCGAATCAGAGGGTGTTCGAGTTGAGCTCAGTTTTCAAATACCGAGCTCGAACTCGACTCGCGAAAGTGTAACGAGTTAATTGAGGCGCTCAATTTTCCAATTTTCATTTTGACTTTTCGGTTTACCACTTTGTTTCCCGCCCAGCTTTTGTTTTTCTGCTAGGTTTTGGGAAAGATGCAAATCTCAAAATATAATGAATATTGATGTTTTGGGATATATATATATATTGAAAATTTTATTGCTTTAGGCTTTGTTTGGGACAGCTTTTTTACTGCTTTCTAAAACTCCGTTTTAGTACAAATTTATTTATTTTTATATTAAAATTTCATTTTAAAAAGTAATTAAAAAGTCATCCCAAACGAAACCTTAGTAATGATAAAGCTTCAACATTAATTTCACTAGATTTTGAAAATCTCATAGTTGAATATATGCTGCCGCCTTGAAAAATCTGACTGTTTTTTATTGTTTAAACTTTTTTATTTGAACTTGCCTTAAATGGGATGTTTGGGACAGCTCCGTCCTTGAGAGCAGTTGTTGCCTCCATGCCGGCTCCCTTTTGATTCCCCAAACCGGCCCCAAAAAAATAAATAAATAAATAAAAACTTGTCTTAAACATTAATGATGTTGCGATTGACTTTTTAGGTTAATTTAATAAACAAATTAATAATAAAAAAAATCAAATAGTAATTCGAGCTGGCTTGCAAGCTCACTAGCTAAGTCTCATCGTGCTTGAACTCGAGCTCGAGTTCGAGGTCGACTCGTTAGCTCGATATGCTCAGCTCGGGAGCCCATAAATGAGTCGAGTTCGAGCCAGCTCGACTCATTTATACCCCTACCGCTGCATAAATAAATGAAATAATATATTTCGAATATATTAGTTATATTTTATTTTATGTTAAAATTTAAATAACAAGAAAGAAGAACGAGCAGAGTTGTTTGGTAATTAATGATTTAGTTTTACGATCTTAATATTATTGATTTATTGGAGTTTCAATCCTCACATGCAATTACATAACAGTAAGGGACCAGTTGACATATTTTTGTTTGTATAGAGTCATTATTTTTTATTAAAATGAAATAAATTCTCTATAAGCATTATACAATTATCTACTATCAAAATTAGTGTCTTATAAATAGATATTTTATGAATATTTTTTATGTTTAATAATAGGTAGATAAAGCTAGCTAAGCTAGATAAAATCCAAATAAGAAAAAAATAATGCATGATTTGACAAAACACAAAAGGCAAACTTCAAATCAAGAAGGGAAGAGGAACAGTCTTGATGAGAGTTTGCGGAAAAGACATCAATGAGACACATGTTGACATTTGAAAATAAGAAGAGTTTTGATGGGACTAAAGCTTGGGCTCAAGTCAAGTAGGCATCGATGGAATTAATGAGAGAAGAGAGATTAAGATGGAATGACTGCCCACCGATGTTTAGCTCGGTTGCGAACTTCTCATTTCGAGTTTGATATCCTCGAGCGGCAGTTACCCCTTCAGTGGGGGCCCCAAAGTGTCAGTTGTGGGTACAGTGGCGTGGATGGTCCGATAGGTCAGCCGGGGCTTACGAATTGCCAAGTGCGCTTGACGAGGCTAAGCGTGACAGCGGACGGTTCCTCGTCACAAAAAAAAGATCGAATG